CTGTGTGAGGCGATCAGAAGCCCTGGAACAGGAGCTTCAGACAGGTATCAACTGCCATGTGGTTGCTGGGAATTGAACCCTTCCAGAGGTGGAAGGGCAGCCAGTGCTCTTAACCAACAAGCCATCTCTCCAGCCCTGCTTGCTGCCCTTATAGAGACCAGAATTCAGTTTCCAATATCCACATCAAAATGCTCACAAATGTCTGACACACCTTCCATTTCCAGATCCAGCAGCATCCATGGGTACCAGGCATGTATATAGTACATATACTTGCAGGCAGGCACATGGACACAAAATAAAAATAAATATTTCTTTTTAAAGAGATCAAGTATGACTCAACATGGCTGATTATTTTGCAAGTAAGTCATCATCAGTTTTCTAGCTGAATCCTTGCTAGTTTACTGTTTACTAGATCCTGGCTGAGCAACTCCGGCTATAAGATAAGCTCTTGTCTCCTAACTGTAGTTAAAAATGTGGCTTTCACAGAGGTAACCTCAAGCGCATTTGATTTACTAACTGAAAGTCTCAATTAAAAGATTAGTTTTCGGCTAGTCTCTTAAATTGCTGAGAGCTTCCCCCACAAGCCCAGCTGTTGAATTTGTTTTGTACAAACAACCCTTGGCTGTGAAGATCTTTCTTTGGATTCAACAGAGACAGCAGACCAAAAGGGTATAGATCCAGGACTCTTTTAAGATTTCCTTTTAAAAAATGGGCAGAAATAAAACAAACACATTTGTGGTGTGTGTGTGTGTGTGTGTGTGTGTGTGTGTTCAAGAAACATAGAACTCTACCCCCTTGCTGGACTCTGATTTGCTTCTAAAACAAAAACAAAAAAATCCTCCAACTTTGAAAAGAGGGAGATAGTGTTACAAGTGGCAGAAAATGAGACATGAATCACACATAAAGAAGGAAAAACTGGTTCCCTGACCCAGAGATTATCAGGCCCCAGATAAGCAGACCTCAAGCAGAGAGACCTTCAGAGAGTCCAGCACCGGCGTAAAGCCTGCAGGACCAGGTGTATGCAGCTTTTACTGAGTTAACTTCATGTATCCAGGACAACTGACAGTAACTTAAACAGATCATTCAAACCACACGCTCTCTAGGACATCAGGAAGCAGAAACTACAATTTATTTCTATAGGGTTAGCAGACCAGTCTCTCAAAATACCTGTTTCATTCTCTTTATTTTTTCCAAACTCCAGCATCTTTGAGTTCCGGGTTAGAGCTGCTGAATTGGGGGGGGGGTGACTGCTAAGAGCTTTTGTGCCCCACAGACAAAAGACCGGGCCTCTGAGTCCACAAACCCCACTGGGACAGGGATGCTGTAGAAAAATTTTGCCAGTTTTGGGTTCAGAATCTCTAATAATATCCAAATATCTGAGCTATATTTTCATATTCTTATTCTTTTTTTCATATGCCATACCATCCTCTTTTTCCAAACATCATTTCAAATATTCTTTACATTTCAAATTAAACTTTGAGTGGTAATTGATAAATTACTCTTTAAGGCAGAAAAACATACCCACAAAATAAAAATCCTTGAAAGTTCATCTTAAACTGAAACAGAAGCATTTTATTCATGAGAAACATATCTTACTAAAGGCAAGGATTCTTACCCCTTAAAAGTTATAGAAATGGCTCGCCTAAACATCACTGGGGCTAAAACTAATCTCAAATTTTTAAGAAGCATTATGAAGTTAAGGTAATTCCTCTGTTCTTCCATCTACAATTTCTTTTTTGTCTTTGCTCAAGATAAAAAAAAAAAAAAAAATCATGAAAACACCAAGAAAGACAGGACAGATTTGTGCTCTCATCCTACCTAGGGGCTTCGATCCCCACCTTTTATGGAAAGGAGACAAACATGAAGCTTCCTGTTCAATCCTCACTGATGGCCAGACTTTTAACATCACAGAGTACACCCGCCTCCTCCTTTACTTCCCTTATCTTAATTTAAACTTGTTGAAATATGAGACTGTTTAAAACACACTAATGCTTTCCTATGAGATTCATCTTACGCCAGCATTAAGAAGGCTAGAAACATCAAGACAGCTCTCCGGTCATTTGGTATCCCTAAAATATTTTAATTGCAGTGTTTATATAAGGAAGACTTAGCACTCTAGTAGGTGAAATTTTGATCCACTAAATCTTAACATAGTTACGTTTATAGGTCCTATTTTAATGTCCTGATTACTATTATATGCAACTAGAAAAAGGGCTCCCAACATCCTTCACCTCTTTTCAAATTACATGAAAATGTAAAAAGGGGACGATAAAATGGCTATCAATAGAAAGGATTACTTTAAAAAAAAAAAGTAACTATATATTACTTTAACCCTATGTTTTCCTTTTTAAACCGGGATGCCTTAGCAAAGCTAAACTAGATGCATTCTTTTGTGCTTGGGTGAACAACCGGAAAGCCAAGCCTCCAGGCCTTGGGGAAGGACCCTGTGCTGATGTGCTGGGAGATAAGGCCCCACAGTGACACTTAAGGAAGGGCCTGCTTGCATTCGAATTTCTGCATTCCTCAAGAACAATTCATGGCAATAAGCAACTTTGCAGAAGAGCTACATGAAAGCTGGGGCCAATGAATGAGGGTCATCTGCTCTTTATCACAGGGTAAACCTCACCCCGGCCAGTGTCTAACCTTTTAACCTTGCCGATTCCTAATTTACACATGAATAATGGAATTCTGGCCCAGAGTGCAACTTTCCGCTTCTAGCGGCTAAATTCAGAAACTAAAACTCAGGCTGTGTGTTAAAAAAAAAAAAAAAAAAAAAAGCCCTAGAGTGGCACAGATTAAAGTTTTAGATTACAGGTCGCCTACCACCACTAAACCGAAAGATGCATTCTCTCATAAAACTACTAAGAAAACAAAAAGAACACACTTGTACCCTGCTGTTATCAGTAAGTGGGGGAACTAGCTTTAAAAAACACACACAGAAACAACAGAATGCCCGCTTAATGCTCTGCTCTTCCTGACCACTTTGGATAACATCTGCACAGGAAGAGTGATTACAGCCCCTGTCACAAGACAGGGCCCCTTAAACAGCAAAACTGTATGGATCCAGGATCGCTGCTGAGAGCCTTCTTAAAGAAAAATCTAAATTTAAACCCACTGTTCCATCTGGGAAGTTCTGCTTGTTTCTCAGGGCTTGTGAGCTCAGTGAGTAAATAAACATTTCTAAGACAGGGTCTTGATACATAGTCCTAACTGGCCTAGAACTCCTGCCTCAGCCTCCCACATGATGGGATCGAAGGTATGCCCCACAATACTGTGTAAAGTGATTAATATGTAAACAGGTATTACTAATAAAAAAATTTAAAGATACGAAAATGTGATACTCAAAATGTTATGTTTTTTGAATTAGATTTTTTTTGCGTGTGGAGTGTTGGTTTAGGTTTGAACTGAACCCAGACACGCATCATGCCAAGCACACACTCTTCAACACTGTGTCACTAACCCTACCTCTGGTCCTAATATGTGCTTCATTTCAGCTTTTATTTATGGGGTCAGAAAGCAGGGTGAGTTGTGGGATTCTGCCAGGCTTCTCAGGAGGTCCTGGAAGCAAGTGTGGTTCTGATAAATGTTTGTCTTTTAAGCCCTGTCTACTCCCCTCTGCCACCCACTTCCCCACAAACGCAACACAAACTACAGTTCCTTGGCATGAAAAAGTTTTGAAAAAGAAAATGATTCCACCAATCTGAAAAGACGGGAACAGAAGAACCCCAGGGTGATTGCACATCACACAAGACTCAAATGAACCAGACATAAGGATAAAATGCACAGTCTCCTCAAAGTGATACTGTACAGCGAAACCAGTGCTCAATGAAAGAAAGATTTCAATGGCCAGCGATCAAAACCCAAGGAAAACAGCAGGGGGGCACTGGGGGTGGAGTTTACCAGAAATCTCAGGGTTGTGTCTTCCACAGCACGGGTGGGAGGTGGGTCTAGGCTTGGAAGCATCTCTAATTTGCCAACATAGTTCAACAAGAGTATCTCTCTGCAATTATTTTCTACACTTCATCATCATCACACAATTACATCAATTACCTCTATTAAGTGCAGCAGAAATATGCCCCTGAGCTGTAGTTAAGTCACCTGGGAAACTCAAAGCCATCCTCAGAGGAACTTCGATTGTGGAGACCTTGAATAAACCACTCCCTAAAGGTTATATGGTTATCTCAAGAACACACTCTTCCTGTTGTATGCTTTATGAATGGGTCAGTGTGTACATAGTGCAAAAATCTGCCCTCTGGAGGTTAACAGCATAGCTAGAGCTGTAAAACTCTTTTCTAACACCTCACTTCGTTGGGTGCATGGCTTGGTCACCCGAAGAGGAGCTCCCTTACCTGACACCTAGCCCCTCCTGACACCCAGCAGTTACCAGGCCAACCACCACCCAATGGGTCATAAGGCTGACAGTTGCTCAGATGAAGTTAATACAAAGGAAATCCTTAGACATGATAACTGGAGAAAATAAATGAGCAGATCTGGTTTAATTCCATTAGGCCTAATACAGAAATGGTCTTGATCTCTTCTCTCCCAGCTGGAAAAGGCTCGAAATACTCAAAGGCTTTGGAGTTACTGACCAATTCCTTCTCTTACAATCAAGAAGCAACATGGGTGACCTAAGAGCGGTCTGAAAGATGGAAGGTTAGCACTCGGGAGCCAGCAGCAAGATTTGTTTGTGATTGTTTCCATTCAATGATTTCCAAAAGGTTGAAACTTTACCACAAACTTCCTCATGTAATTCTTACAGTGTGCGACACTTGAAATTAAGACAGTCACCTGCCATTTTCAAACTCTAATTTGAATTGGTTTATGTAGTTTTTGCACACCTCCGTCAGCGCCAGCTATTAGCAACCCTGGTGAAATTCTTAACGTTATGTATGATTGTAGTGCTACTCATAAGCCAAACAAAAAACAAAAAACAAAACAAACAAACAAAAAACCCTTTTAACAGAAAACTGTTACCACCAAGAAGAACTTAAAACACTTACTTGACAGTGTCAGATGAGCTTTCTGACTGAGAATGGCCCCGTATTTGTTCACTGCCAAGCACTGATAAAATCCTTCATCCGACTGCTCTCCTCGCCTGCCTTCCATCTCACTGATGTGCAAAGAGCCGTTAGATAGAACCTGGATCCGTTTATTTTCAGACAGTTTTGCTCCATTTTTCATCCACGTGACCTTAATGGGACCTTCTCCATGAGCCTGGCAATCTAAAGACACCGACTCTTTCCTTGTGACAGTTATATCCTGTGGTTCTTTCACGAAAAACAGTTCACTAAAGCTCCACACTCCTGTAAAGAAAAGGGGGGGGGTGTCCAAAATTACAAGTATAAAATCATTTAGCACACAACTGTAGAACACATATTTGTGGTATAAGGCAGTTTCTCCAGCCATGATGGTTAACTTCCAAGGACCTTAATAACTGCAAGCCCTTTCAACAAGTCAGAGAAGCTGCCCTTTCCAAGTCTACACTCAAAACATGGGGAAGACTCTGATAACTTCTATGAAGCCTAAGAATCTGGTTCTCAGGTTTCTGGTCAGAGACCCAAAATCATCAGAACTCACTAGCACAAGCCATTTGCTACTTTTACAAGCTTGTCAAAAAGATCTTGAACAGGGTTAAGTCATAAAAGTCTAATTTTACAAGAAATCATTAGCAAAACTCCAACTCTGTGAACAAGCGAGTTTATTTCCTTGTCTCTTGAAGTGTTTTGGAAAACCCGGCACCTACTTCTTTGGGAAGTGCGTTTATCTTTTGTGACAAATTACAAGTTTGCATTTTTTTTCTATGTGCCCTGTTACAGCAGGGATGCTGTCTCTGCTCCTTAAGAGAAATCCATTTACTTCATTTCTGCCGAGCCAGCTAGGTATTTAAAGGGCACACAATAGACTTTGAAAAGTCGGTAACTCTGGCTGCTTGTGCTCAGTGGGTGATCGGATTAGGAAACCTTTATTTCACTTTTTTCGAGCTACCAACTGTTGGAAAAAATGCGTGACTAATTGGTCCTTACTGTCTAATAGGGATAGGAGATTGCTTAATCAACCAATACACATTTTTATCAGAGCAGAGGAAATGCTTTATCCAAGCACACACAAGCTTCTGGTTCCCCGGAATAAAGCATTTTTTGCCTCTTGCGTTTAGAGCAAAAGTACATTAACCTGAGCCAACTTGAAGTTAGGGGTCTTGATGAGAGTTCTGGCTTTTTTAAACACTTCTTCTGGTCAGTTTGAAGCCCTGATTACAAATACCCAGCAATGATTTATCTGTTTCTCATCAAGACAGATCCTGAAAACCTCAGTCTGGAGCTCCGAACTTCCACTAAGGTCCGCCCAGGGGAGCTACCCCAACAGCCCCAAGCAGCATGCAACCACTCCGGAAGACGCCCATTGTGTTTCTGAGCCGCATCCTACTTTGATCCTTTCTCTTGCTAACTGAAACTAACTCTTCCAGAAAAAAAGAAAAAAGAAGAAGAAAAAATTGTTTGTAACTTATAAATAACTCAAGCCCCTTAACACCTTTTCAAATCCCCTCCTTCCCCACTTTATACGTTTCCGTCTTTGAAGAAACCAAGACTGAAGAGATAAATAAATTTATCCAAGTTTGTCCATGGCTAATCTGGAGGTTTCAGGGTCCTCCAGCCGGAACCCCAAAGACCTACATGCAGAAAATAAGTTCTGTCCAGACACCTTCCCCCTGCCTCTCTGGAGGCACAAAATGGGCCACACAACTTTCAAGCTCCTTCTCGTTGCAATTCCACCCTCCCATCTCCTTGCTCAGTTTCGAACTGCGGAAGCGGGGGGCGTCCGGCTCGGCCACCCCCGCGACCTGGGGGACCCATTGCAAACCCTAGAAACGGCGCGCAATCGCGGCTACCCCCTGCGCGGCGAGGCTGCCACTCAGGAAACAATATAAATAAAACCACGTGCGGCCGCGGCCCCGAACGCAGCGCGGAACCCCGGGCTGGCCGCAGCGCGGACAATGGCGTGAGCAAGGCGAGTGGACAGCAGCCCCGGGGAGACTTGGCCTCAGCCGAGGATTGCTCGGAGCGCGCATCCCGAGGGAACCCCGGGCCTGCCGCACCACCCGGATACATCCCTGCCTGTCCCCGTCCCCCTCCCCGCGCACGGTCGCGCACACTCGCTCGGGGAGCGCGCCCACCTGGAAGCCAGCCGAGCGGCGGCAGCAGCAGCAGTAACAGCAGCAGGGGCGGCATCCCCGGGCGCACGGGAGGCGCCATTCAGCGGGGCTGCGCGGGCATGCTCCCGGGCCGTGCGCCCGCTGCTCCCGCTGCTTTCCTGGACCCGCAGCTCCTGCTGCACCCGCTGCTCCGGCGTGGCTAGGCGACGCGCCGCTTGCAGGCGCACGGACCCCCGTGCGCGCGCCAGGCCGCGGGGACCACGCGCGTCGCGTCCAGCCCCGGGCGGAGGGAGGCTGCAGAGGGCGGCGCAGTGGACAGCCTGGTCGGCCGGGGACTACTTTCTACATCTGGCCCCTGGGCCCCCGCACGGCGAGGTCGGCGCTGCTGGCGGAGGGACACGCTGCGATCTTTTGGGCGACCCCGAGGACAGGGGGAGGGCCCCACTGGACAATGCACCTGGGGGTCAGGCCCCCGCCCCTCAGCCTGCGCGCCACGGCCGGCCACCGGGCCACAAAGGCCAATCCTCCTGGCCGCGGCCAGCCCCCCGGGGCCCTTCTCCCTCCTGCCGGCCAGTTGAGGATTCTGCACCGAGGAGGGGGGTGGGGTGGAGGGATGGTGTTGAGAGATGTGGAAAGGCCGGAGACTTCTCCCCTGATGGCCCCCTGCCCATCCCCCTGCTTTGCTCACCCGCCCAGGCCCTGTTCAGGGAAGTCCAGTTCCCACTTCTGAGGCTTGTCAGCGCCCCTGGAGGCATTCTATGGTGACAACCCCCACACACACTCACTACCACCCACATTTGGAGACTTCTTATCATCCCTGGTCTCATCAGATAACAGCCTTGGCTCGAAAATCATCTAAGAGTCCTAAAACTAGCAGTTACCTTCGGGAGAGAATTTTTTAACTCTGCTTCAAGTTAATTAAGTTTTTAATGTGTGAGAACTAAGCGTTTAAAGGCCCTTGTCCTGGGAATAGAGTCGAGATCAGAATGTGTCCAGAGCTTGGTATTCGAGGCCAGACTTTGGTGGGTTACCTGCTTTAAAGAGTTAGGCTGATGAAACAAAACACCAAAGATGGGAATTTGTTCACAGTTCTTGAAGTTAATTAAGGATAACCAGAGGAGTCGAAACGTACATTTAAAGAGGGCAAACAGGGGGGCTACCCGTATGGAGCCCACAGAGCCTTTACATGTGGATTAGCGTTTGCTAATCCCGATCTAAATCTTCCGCACATGACGAGGGCACAGGCTAAAAGCTAACTTTAATTAAAGCCGCTGACGGAAATGTAGCTTTTTGTCACTAACTGCCTTTAGCAAGTTTCTGGAGTCCTTCTGATTGAGCGGGAGAGGGTGGAAGTGGGAGGGGGAGGGTGGTCTTGGAAATCCATCAGGACCCCCACGCTACTTACCCTCAAACTTATTTTTAAAAAGTCAATGTACTCAGCAATTTTATGTTAACCCCATGTAAAACAGCAGTACCTTGAATCTGTAGCTTCCAAACCCGTATTATAAATGAGTTTGAACAATTTTTAGTCCTCAGGATAAAAATTCATAGAAAAGGAAAAACTGAGGTATTAAAATGCAGTGTTGCAGAAATCTTTTAAATATCTGGTCATTGAAATTTACAGAAAATGAGGTTCTTAACGGTTGGCTTTTGAGCTACATTTTTGTTTGGATTGTTTTGAGACAGGGTCTCACTTTGTAGACAGGAATAACCTGGACATCACTTTTATGTCGCCCGGGCTGGCACACAACAGGTTTGAGCCAGCATCCCAAGTCTAGCTGGGTTTTTCTTCATTATGTGATTTCCTTCTCCCTCTTGACATGGTATTTTCGGTCCCAAATGACCACACACACACACACACACACACACACACACACACACACACACACACACAAGTGTTCATGTTTCCAGGATAAGAACTGCTAATAAGATGTTTTCATTCAGCTACACCTGGGAACCTTGTGACTTGGAACCTGGTGTTGCTTTGAGGAAGAATATTTTGCATTGAGTCAAAATGAAGGAGGAGGGAGTAATACATTAAACTGCCTGCTGAATCAAGTCTGGCATGTACTTACGGCACCACGCTGGACAGGAGTATGGTTCCTTTGACCATATATATTACACCATGTTGTAAGATTTGTGGTCTATTCAAAAGTTTTCATATGCACTCATTGGCCTCTCATGGCAAACTTATGAGGTAAATAGAGCTGTTGGGAGGAAAAAGAGTTTATTTTACCTCATAGATAACAATCCATCACTGAAGGAAGTCAGAGCAGGAACCTGGAGGCAGGATGCAGATACTATTGAGGGGTACTACTTCTTGGATTGTGCATATACATATATACATACACACACACACACATATATATATATGTGTGTGTGTATATATATATATATATATATATATATATATATATATATATTCATACAGGACCATCAGCCCAGAGGTGGCACCGCCCACAGTGATCTGGGCCCTCCCAAATCAATCCTCACTTAAGAAAATACACAAAGTTTTGCCCACAGGTCAATATAATGTCGGCATTTTCTCTGTCACTGAGCTATATCTCCTACCCATAATGAGATTATTTGGGGAGGGGTTCAGTCTTTAAGACAGGATTTCTCTGTGTAACAGCCCTGGCTGCCCTGGAACTCACTTTGTAGACCAGGCTGGTCTCAAACTCAGAGATCTACCTGCTTCTGCCTCCCAAGTGCTGGGACCAAAGGTGTGAGCCACCACCACCCAGCTTTAACTTTTTTTTTCTTTATCACAGATGTTCTTATTAGCAATATCTCCTATTTAATTTGAAGAAATAGATTTAGCCAAGGTCATTCATTAATAAGTGATAACTAGGGGCCAGGGTTCATGTTTTCTAATTTCCAAGATTTACCTGTTTTCTGTATAGAATCCTTTCTGCCTTTAAACTTTTCTCTTTAAGTAGTTTTTCTAGTACTAGAGTTTGAAACTCAGGCCCCATATTTGCCAGGCAAGCACTCTACCGTTGAGCTACACCACCACCATACCAACCTACCACCCCACCCCCCACCCCCAGCAGACCTTTATCTTTTCTATTAGTTTTAAGATTTACTTTTTAATTTTAAGTATGCATGGGTGTCTTAATGTGGTTAAATGCTCAAGAGTACATACAAGTGTCCAAGGAGGCCAGAAGAGGGTATCAGATCGCCTAGAGCTAGATTTATGTATGGTTGTGAGCTTCCTGTCATGGGTAATATGAAGCGAAACCAGGTTCTCTGTAAAAACTGTATGTCTTTTTAACTGTTGAGTTATCTCTCATTTTATTTGTATTTTATTTTTGAGACAAGGCCTTACGTAGCAGAGACTTGCCTTGAACTCCAGATCTTCCTGCCTTCCTCTCCCAAGGGCTGTGATTACAGGTATGCACCAGTTTATTCTGTACTTGGGGACCAAACCCAGGGCCTCCTGCATGCTAGGCATGTCCCTACTAACTGACCTCTATCCCCAGCCTCCTGAGTCTACTTAAACACAAAACAAACAAGCCAGGTGGTGATGGTGCACACCTTTAATCCCAGCACTCTGGAGGCAGAAACAGGCAGACCTCTGTGAGTTTGAGGCCTGCCTGGTCTACAGAACTCCACAGAAAAATCTTGTCTCCAAAAACCAAAACAAAGAAAAACCTATTCTGAAGATAATTTACAGCATATGTAAATTTACAGCATATGTAACATAGTACGTATCTCCTCACAAATTGTTCTCACATATTATTATTCTTGCATCATGTGTGTACTCAGTTCCATAGCTACTTAAGAGCTTAACTAGCTCTTGGAATGACCTGGAATTTCCATCCAAAAGCATATGTTACATACACTAGAAGACACCACATTGGTAAAGCCTGGTTTGAGATTTCTGACACACTCAAGTTCAGATTTCAGTATTGTGTAAACAAGTTCTTCAAGTTCCCAAACCTAATCTATTTAATGGGAAGGAGGATAATGCCAGTTGGCTACAGGGATATACTAACATGTAAGGAAAGCACCTGCCACCTAGGCCATAAGAATTGCCATCGTTACTGTCTGATAAGCAGATAGTTCCAGTAATGGCAATCTTCATCCTTTCAGGCAGGTTTGATTTTGAAAAGTTCACTTCTGAGAGTCAGATCTGATTGACTTGGAGATGACTTTAAAAATTAAAAAAAAATAAATAAATAAAAACTCCTGTGTGGTCTTGAAGGAGTTAAGACCTGCCTGGGTGTCCAGCCCCCTAAGATTTTCCCCTGCAGGATGACACTTATCGAGACAACTGCTTACACCTTGTTTTACTCTCCTACTCTGAAACAAGAGCAGGTCATATTTACTAAAAGTGAAGAACTGAAGGGCCCAAAGAAATGGCTTGGTTGATAAAGTGCTACATGGCTATGATGGCCTAAGTTCAGATACCCAACACCCACATGAAGCCCAGGCACAGCAGACAACTAGCGGGAGCAGAGGGGTGGGTCCTGGGGGCTCACTCACTGATGAGCCAGCCTAGGCAAGTCAATAAACTCCAGGTTCTGCAAAAGACCCTGTGCCCAGCAATAAGATAAAGGGGCTGGAGAGATTGCTCAGTGGTTAAGACCACCTCTTTCTTACAGAGGGTCTTGTTCAATTAGCCACACAGGGCTAACCCTCCCTGACTTCAGTTCTAAGGATACAGGGACCTTTCCTGGCCTCCAGAGGCACCAGGCACATATAGGGTACATTCATATGCCGGCAGGCAAAACACTAAGGCATAAAATAAAAATACTTGAATCTTTTTAAAAAGCATGAGGAAGACGGCCAACGTCAACCCCTGACCTCCACTTCCATGTACATATACACACTGAAATCTGAGGAAAATTTGGTGCATTTAAAAAAATTTTTTTTTAATTTTCTTTTTTAAAATAAAACCCAGAAACTAGTTCTATAAGTTCAAGTGGCCTGATACAACATCAGGGGAGTATACTTACAGCCGTCAGGCTCTAGAACGATTTTGAAAGCCACTGACCCCGGAACACAATCTCTGTAGAAGATCACAACTCGGGTGCTTGCTACCACAGCACATATTGGAATGATACAGGGGGAAAATGACACACAAATTCATGATGCATTACACACACACACACACACACACACACACACACACACAC